TTATTTCATTAAGGGGCTGCAAAATGGTGATTTTTCTAATTCCATATTCCTTCTACATTAGCTGGAGTTCTTCAGTAAGTAAGAAGTTTTCTCCACCACTTAGAGCTATTTGGCCACCCTGAAATATAAGTTACACAGGACAGGCAGCATAAATGCATAATTCTTTTTCTTTCTGGTTGCCAATTTTCAGAATATGAAGTTGGGAGAAAAACTTCATTTTTTAAAAGTTTTGGGCTTAGAGCTGAGTAGGGATGGATGGCCTGGACAGTGGGCAGGGGAAGAAGGGTCTATTTTGGTAGCTCTGTCCAGCCCTCACTCATTCCAGGGCATGGGGTGTTTGGGGGACAGCTGGACAATGGAGGACTTGGTGTCCTGGCCCTTGGGCAGCAATGAGATGGGCATGACATAGGCCTGGTGTGCAGGCAGCTGCAGGACCGAGAGAGAGAGAGAGAGAGAGAGAGAGAGAGAGAGAGAAAACCAGATTTTGGGTAGGCAGAAAGAGAGATAGGAATTGAAAAACAGCTGGACCCAGAAGACAGGAACAAAGACAGAAAGGGAAATAGAAATGGAAGAGATCGAGAATGACTTGCACCCAGAAGCAGAATAGGACAAAGGAGAGAGCCAGGAGGTGAATCAAAAGACCAAGGAAGAGGAACTTCCCTGGTGCCACAGTGGTCCCAATGCAGGGGACGTGGGTTTGATCCCTAGTCCAGGAAGATCCCACATGCGGTGTAGCAACTAAGTCCATGTGCTGAAACTACTGAGCCTGCGCTCTAGAGCCTGAGCTCAACTATTGAGCCTGAGCTCTAGAGCCCGAGCCACAACTACTGAAGCCCCTGTGCCTAGAGCCCACGCACTGCAACGAAGAGTAGCCCCCGCTCTCCACAACTAGAGAAAGCCCACAACGAAGACCCAACGCAGCCAAAAATAAATTTATTAAAAAAAAAAAAGGAAGAAAACAAGATTTTAAATTAGATGGGGAAAGGGAGGGATGAGTGGGGGAAACAGATGTAGAGATACAAGTTAGGTGAAGGCAGAAAGTCCAGGTGATAGAAAAAAGGAAACAGAAATGGAGAGAGTGGTGTAGAAAGCTAGAAGGAAGGATAAACAGAGATAGAAAGGAAAGAACAAAGGGTTCCAGAGAAGGAGGTTGAGAAAGGGAAGATTGAAACAGACCAGTGTCAGAGAACTTGGGGAATGTGGAGGGGTGCTTAGGGGCTCTCAGCTTAAGATCCAGTCCCACGCAGATGCCAAGGTCTATCACTTCCAGCTTCCTCTTGGTGGCTTCTCCAAACCCCCAGCCCCAGCCCCACCCCCAGGGACAGGGGACTTATGACTAGCTATGTGTGGATGGGATCATTGGGAACCTGAGTCAAGGGTTCCCAGTTTCCATCATCCCCCTGCTAGATGAGCATGGATGTAACAGATGGGTTTATTGCTGGAAGATTGAGGTCATGGGGCTGGGCGAGCACTCAGAGATTTGAGAGATAAGACATCCAGGTAGAGAGCGCCAGGTTCCTAGAAGCAAAGGACAATGAAGGATGTCATGATATCCAAGGGGAGGGAGGAACCAAGAATTCTCTGCTCAGCCTCTTCTTCTGGTCCAAGAGCCATTGACCTTCCTTACCAGGCTCTTGATGAGAGGTAAGGGATTCAGAGATTCTTGGGTCATTTAGGGATATGGGTGGAGGTCCACAGGGCAAGAAAAGTGGTCCCTGGACAAAGGATCCCCTGTCGCCTCTAGAGGAAGAATCCATCTCATCCATGCAAACTGCAGAGAAGATGAGCCAGGAAGGGTCTCCAGGGGAGGCTGACCAGAGGGGAAAATGGCCAACTTGCTCACCTTCAGGGGCCGTGGGAGAGGCTCTGAGAAGAACACTTTCCATTCCAGAAGTTGCGGAAGAGGAGGTTCTGGAACCAGTGAGAGCATGCCCAGAAACTAGCCTCAAAGCAGACGTCCCGAGACTGAGGAGGAGGCCGGGGGATCTCAGCAGCCAGCCTCCTCTCCTTGCCTGGGTGAGGGGTCCAGTTGATCCTTCTCCGTCCTCCAGAGCTTCTGCCTCCTCCCTGAGGAAGCAGCTGCAGAAGTGCCCTGGAAGATTGGCAATCTCTCAAGGGGCAACAGCCCAGCTAGACTATCAGACAGTGTCGAGAGGTGCGGTGTCCCCTGAAGCAGCAGCTGCAGCGGCCGGCGGAGGCTGGAGGTCCCCGGGCAGCCCCCTGGCCACGGCCACAGCTGTCACTGCAGCCCAAGCAGGAGCTGGAACAGGTGGCTTGACCCCTGGAGCAAGGGTACATGGGGCAGGGAGAGGGGTGGCAGCAGGTCAAATGCGGAGCAGAGCAGGGGCTGAAGGAACTGAGGGGACAAGTCAAGGGCGGACAGGCAGGGCAGGGAGGGCAGGGGCAGGTACAGGGTGGGCCAGGGAGGCCGGGACAGGAGGGGCAGGGAGCTGCGTAATAGGGATAGATAGTGCAGGAGCAGGTGGGAGGGGGACAGCCAGGGCAGGGGCAGGCACAGGGAGAGGTGGGGCAGGACAGACAAGGGGAGGCAGCTGGTGGGCCGTGCCCAGAGGGTGGAGGGGGATGTTGGTGGCTGGCCTTCTTGTTCCGAGGCCCCAAACGTAGGCCCAGAGAGAAGTCCATTCAGCTGCAGGAGTGGCCAGGCTGGGGGGTTGGGTGAAGGGGAGGGCAGGGGTGGGGTCAGAGGGGGGACAGTGGGGAGCAGGGGTGTGGGCAGGATTAAACTTAAGCCACTGCTGAGCCTCTCTGAGCCTGCAGCAGCTCAGACTTCCCCAGCTAGCCCTCCGCTTCCCGGCCTGCCTGCTCCCCTCCCCTCCACTGAGAACCCACCAAGGGCACCAGACCAGAGCACGTCCTCCAAATAGCATGTGCACTTTCATTCCTCCAGTCCTTTGTTTCCACTCTTCCTTCTGCTCCCAGTGCCCTTTCTCTTTTCTCCACCTGGCGAGGTCCCATCATCTCTGAAGTCTTCCCCTTTATTCAATCAGAAAGTATTTCTTGGGGACTTCCCTGGTGGCACAGTGGTTAAGAATCCGCCTGCCAATGCAGGGGACACGGGTTCGAGCCCTGGTCCGGGAGGATCCCACATGCCACGGAGCAACCAAGCCCATGCGCCACAACTACTGAGCCTGCGCTCTAGAGCCCGCGAGCCACAACTACTGAGCCTGTGCGCCACAACTACTGAGCCTGTACTCTAGAGCCCGCATACCACAACTACTGAAGCCCACGCGCATACAGCCCATGCTCTGCAACAAGAGAAGCCACCGCAATGAGAAGCCCGCACACTGCAACGAAGACCCAATGCAGCCAAAAATAAATTAAAAAAAAAAAAAAAAAAAAAGTATTTCTTGAGCTCCAGGCACCTGACACCTGCCCATCACTCTCCAGCCCTGAAGGCTAGAACGGCTGCTTCAGGCTCTCATATGGTCCCTAGAGGAGACGTCAGGAAGCAGCAACAGCACCAGCAGATGCTCTGAGACTCTGAGACTGAGCCAGGGATGTTGGTGGGAGCTGGCAGGGGAGGGAGGAAGCCTAGGTTCTGGGAGTTTCCAGACAGGGCAAATCCCAGGTGTGAGGGTTGGGGGAGGGGCTGGCTGTCTCTGGGAGCCTGACAACCGGCCTGGACAATTATTATTTGAGGGCCTGTCATGCAGCAGGCACTGGCCATGGGACAGAGCAAGACAGCTTACTTTAAAGTGAGGGGTGGAGCAGGGTGGAGATAAAAACCAAACAGGTAAACAAACAAAAGTAAGCAAACAAATACATTAGCTTACTTCAGAGCATGGAAACGGCTATGAAAAAAACCAGGGTGGGGGCTTCCCTGGTGGCGCAGTGGTTGAGAGTCCGCCTGCTGATGCAGGGGACACATGTTCGTGCCCGGGTCCAGGAAGATCCCACGTGCCGCGGAGCGGCTAGGCCCGTGAGCCACGGCCACTGAGCCTGCGCGTCCGGAGCCTGTGCTCTGCAATGGGAGAGGCCACAACAGTGAGAGGCCCGCGTACTGCAAAAACAAAACAACAACAAAAAAAAAACAGGGTGATGTGATGACTCAGAGAGGTGGACCCTTCAGGAGGGGCAGCTAGACAGTCCCCAAACAGTCAGCTATGATGGCCCTTAAGGGTTTGGGAGGAGATAAAAGCACTGGCAGGAATTTCCCTGGTGGTCCAGTGGTTAAGACTCTGAGTTTCCAACCTGCATGCCACGTGGCAAAAAAAAAAAAAAAAAAGTGCTGGCCGACCAGGGGAGAGCTGCTTGAGGCTGAATGGAACCCAGGTGGCTGGACTACGAAGAAAACTAAAGCTGAGAAGGGTATAAGGAGGGCTGGAGGTTGCAATAGAAGATTCAGTGGTCAGGGAAAGTGCCAGTGAGAAGTGACATTTTAGCAAGGACCTGAAGAAAGTGAGGGAGAGAGCCATGGAGATAGCTAGTGGAGGAACATTCCAGAGAGGGGGGACAGCAAGTACAAAGAGCAAAGAGGAGAGTCATATGGCACAGGCAGAGAGCCAGGCAGAGGCCCTGGGAGCCACGGCAGTGACTTGGATCTTATTCCAAGGAAAAGAGAAAACCACTGAGAGTTTTAGGTAAGAAAGGTGTATGGGTCTTCTTGATCCTACACCTGCCCCTGGTTAGAACATTCTGCTTCCTGTGTAACTGATACAACCATTTTGGAAAACAGTTTGGCATTATCTGGTAAAAATTGAGATTTCCTGTACATACATTTTGACTCTTAGTTTTACGGCCTAGAAAAACTCTTGCATGTATGTACTGGGAAACACACACAAGAATGTTCTTAGTGGCATTATGATAGCCCAGACTGGAAACAACTCAAACTTTCACCAACAGTAGAATAAAAAAATTAATTGTGGTATATTCAAGCAACTGAATGCTCTGTAACAATAAAAAAGACAGTTACGTGCAACAATTTGGATCTCTCTCACAAACAAGAAGTTGAGCAAAATAAGTAAGATACAAAAGGGTAATACAGTGTCATTCCGTTTATATAAACCTCAAAAACAGGCAAAATTAAGTAATATTGATGAGGGATGCATACATAGGTGCTAATCCTATAAAGAAAAAGAAGGAAATAATTATCACAAAAGTCAGGATGGTGTTTACTTCTTAAGGGAGGGAGGGGATGATGGGAGAGTCACATGGGAACTTCTGGAGCAGGAAGTACTCTATTTCTTGACCTGGATGCCAGCTGAGTAGGTATTCGCTTTATTCCAATTTATTCTGTACACTGTTCATAATATATTTCTTTACTCTTTCAGAAAGAGAAAATGGAAGTACTGTTTCTTTCTCCACTCCATGCCGCCTCGTTCAAATCATTATGCTGAAGTTAGATACTGCCTAGTTCATACACCTATCTTTCCCACCAGACCCTGAGTCAGCAACCTTCCCTGTCACTGGTCTGGCACCTGTCCGGGCCTGGCATACAGCAGATGCTCAATGACTGTTTTCTGAATTGGATTGAACTGAACTGATTATTTCCAAGTCTCTCATCTCATGGAGAGGTGGGCAGCTGCAGAAGAGGAGGAAGCCTGTCGTGGTGAAGAGACCTCAGGACCACCAAGACCTAGGTTCCCATCTTAGCTCTGCTGTGTGCTAGCTGTGTGATGATACTGGGCAAGCTGCTTAACCTCTCTGGTTCTCAGCTCCCTCCCCTGTGATGGGGTTGATAATAACTGCTACTTCTCTGGACTGCTTTGTGGATTAAATGAGTAACGTACATGCCCTAGCACAACGCCTGGCACATAGAGATGGTCAACGAAGGATAGCTTCCCAACGCCCTCCCCCCAGCCCCACATCTTTTCTTCGAAGAGGTTCACTAGAAAGGGCAGCCAGACATCAAATATGGTCCCAGAAAGTGGGCCCACATCCTCAGGGCCCCTCAGGGCTAAGGCGGAGATGTAGTCTGGAGGAGAGCTGGCAGACAGGGAGATCCCACTGTAAGTGAACAGAACCCAGGCTGTTGGTGGGAGCTGGCAGAGGAGGTAGGACACCAGGGTTCTGGGAGTTTCCATCCAGGAGAAGTCCCAGGTGTGGGTGCAGGGGTGCCAGGCCTGCCCCACCCAACACCCTGGCCCCAGGGCATGTGGGCACAGGGAGGAAAATGGGTCAGAGCAGGGCTGGAACTTAACCCCATTGGTCCCATGACCTCTTTGCCAGCTCCGGAGGAGGCATGGCCACAAGAAGCCTGCTCCCTCCTCCAAAGGACCCTCCATCCCTTTTCTTCAGAAAGGAAGAAGCCTGGAACCTCGGTGTCTGGGCAGGAGGGGCTGGAAGCCCCCAAGTGGACAGAGGAGAGATAACCCCATAACCCGGGATGGAGGTTCTGTACAAAATGGACTGCTGCGCCCACCCACAGCGGGCCTGGCCGCCACCTGGAGCAGTCAGCTCACAAACTCCGGGCAACTGTGGAAGCAGACATGCTCCTCATTCCAGGGAGTGGAACAGGTCAGGGCTGGATCCCAGAGGGTGAGGGTGCACGGTCAAACAGATCAGAGTAGAAGGGTTTTCTATCTGGTGAGGCTCCAGCCAGGCAAACTCAGGAATCCCTCACCCTGAGGGATTTGCCAACAATGTGCGGCCTTGTTTTCTCTATGTAATGTCGGGCCTATGCCTGTGGATTCCTCCTCCCTATCTGTGCCTCTGTTTCCCTTTCTGGAGGAAGAGATGAAGGAATGGGTGGAATCATTCCAGGGCAGGATCACCAGGTGTCCCAGGGTCCTGCTTTGGCCATTAGGAGGTGCTTACCATCCCTCCCTTGTAACATATCAAAATCCAGGTGAGGAGGGACCTTCTTCTTTCCGGGGGAGCAGGGTGGCTGGGAGCCAGGACCCTGATTCCAGGGCCTTTGCACATACTCTTCTGCTTCTGCTGCCCTCCCTTCTCTCTACTGCCCCCACACCCCCCCGCAAAAGTCTTTTCTAATCTCCTTGGCTGGGGGAAAAGACTCTTCTACTATCCATTCTCACAGCACCTTATACCTCTCCACGCTGGTTGTCACTTGCAATTTTGTGGGTGATTTGTTTCATGTCTGACTTCTCTACCAGACTATAAGCCCGAAAGGGCAGAGACCATACCCAGGGCCTAGCACAGTGCTTGGCATATAGTGGATGCTTAATAAAGATTTGTTGAATTAATGAATGGTGCATGTTCAGGGAAGAAATTCCTAGAGTTGTTTAGGCCAGTCCTAAAATGCTGTGTTTCAAAATCAAGGCCTTATTCTATGTGGGGATCTGGGCAGCTCTGAGGCTGGTAAGTATCTTCGACACACAAACTCATTCACCAGGAGAACCAACAAACTGGCAAGCAGCAACATAGGCCTGATACAAGGGGTGGAACTGAGCAAGCACGCAGGGCAAGGCTGGCACCAGCCTCGGCACGGAGCAGGCCTAGGGGGAGGAGGTGGGAGAGGAGGGGAGGAAGGGAAAGAAGACACATGTTGTACATGTTTTCATCACGCTCTCCCTGGGTGCCCCTGGTCTCCAAGCCCCGATGGCACTTCTGTGCCATAATGATGTCCTTGGGGGTTGTAACATAGCTCCCCCCACCTCCCAAAGACATCTGCCAGCCACCTCTGAGCATGGCCTAGGACATCCTCCCAGTACCAGCCTGGGCATGGGGAAGTTGCCTGTTCAGTGTCCTGATGCTGATGGGGAGCCGGCAAGGGTGAAAATTAGGGCCGGGCAATACGGTAAATCAGGGCAGCTGGGACAGATGTGTGGATCCTTTTCCTCTCCTCACAATCTCTCCTTTTGGTCTTCGTGATGAAGGGAGCAAAGGAAGCCTGGTCCTAGGGCCCCCAAGATATCATTTTCTCCAATTTGCCAGGGTGACCAAGTGAAGCAACCACAAACATAGCAAAGCCTAGAACTGGGGATGACCCAAGAGAAAGAGAAATGAGGGGGGCTCTCTCTACCAGTTTCCAGAGTGGGAGACCCCCTTCTCCAGCTTCCTCCGAGAATCCCTGGACAGAGCACAGGCGGCAATGCAAGATGGAGAGAAGAATCTGAACCCCTCACAATGCCCCTCTTCTCTGCTCCCCAGTCTGCCTGTTTGGCTTGACTTCCAAACCGCTGCAGCCCACAGACCCCAGTCATTGGGTCCTGGGGAGAGGCGGGGGCGGAGGCGAGGCAATCCCGAGGGGAGGGGCCGGCACAGGGCGGGTCTTCCTGGGCATCGCCCCCTGGCTGCTGTCGTTGGCTGGGGACCTTACAGGCTGCCAGAAGGGCGGAGCCACAGTTACCAAGACAGATGGACAAACACCCACCAGAGACAAAGACAGAGGCAGACAGACAGACAAACCAAGACAAAGAGGAAGGCAGAGACAGATGGAATTCCAGACCCGCTCTCTCTTTCCAGGCTACCCAAGAGTTTTGTCCCCCGTTAGCTTCCCTGGCCCCGTTTGCTACCCCGGCTGCATAGTCTCAGAGCTCTAGCTCTGGGGGACCAGACCCTGAGCCCCTCTAAGAAGGAGAAGGGGAAGAGTTGAGAAAGGGTTACCCAGCAGGGAGAGCGTTCCAGGGGTGGGTGGTGCCTGGTTCTGTGTCAGGATGCCCGGCCAGGGGCCAGGGAGGGAGTGGTGCCCTCACCCGGTTCATGAGGACAGGAGACTCATTCACTGTAAACCAAGTACAGATGTGCTGGGAGAGGGAAGGGGAATTAGGGCCACACTCACAAACCGCAGCTGGGCCCGCCCTCCTTCCGCCAGCTACCACCACCACCAGGGCAGGAGGGGTTAACTTTGCAGGCTCCTGACGGGGATCCCTGCCACAAAGGCCGAGTGCCATCCCACCCCAGCCTGGACGCCTGGGTCCAACTCTCCGACACCCGCCCCTCTCACACTGCTGAGAGCTGCTCCCAGGGTAACCAAGCAAAGTCAACAGCAGCCAGGCCACCTGGGGACGGGACCCTGGAGTACCTATTCCCGGCTCTTCCCACCCCTAGTGTGAAAGGGAGGGCCTTGTCTGTACCCCATCAACGGCTCCTGTTCTCCTGAGAGAGCCACAGCAGGCCCCTCTTTCCTCTCCCCTTCGCCTGACTCTGGCTACCAGAAGTGGCCTTTCCCTTTCCCCGGAGGGAGGATACCTGGTCCCTAGGGTGGCAGTGAGGACAGAGCAAAGTAATTCCGGTATGGGAAACGTGACGTGACCAAGACTCAGTGTCCCCAGTGCTGGCCACCCCAGAACTGTTGCTGGGGAAGGTCCCTTGGGTGCATCTCTCCAGCCAAGTCCAGCCCCCACTGCTACTGCTGCCCTTCTCCACTTTCTCTCTCCCACCCTAGCTCCTGTAGGAATGTTGGAGCTCCATGTATAGAGCTTGGACTTTTCTCTTGCTCTGTCCTCAGTAGAATGGACGCTGACGCCCCGGGGTTCCTACTCTAGGACTGAGAGTCTGTGGTGGTCACATTGAAGTCAGAGAAATGTCCCCATCAGACCCTGACACTGACACTGGTTGCACGTGCCTGTACACACACACACACACACACACACACACACACACACATGCTCGCGCGCGGCTGGAGTCAACATCTGTGGTGCATCCACCAGGCAGGCAGGCAGGCAGGCTCTAGGTAAGGCAGACACCCCCCCACACACACACTTGGGCTTTCCCCCTCACACCCAGCCCCAGGCTCCTTCCACTCCCAGCTACAGTTCCCCTTGCCCTCCACCCCAGCCTAAATGTAGGCAGCCAGGGACCCAGAAGCCCTAGTCCAAGCTTACTCAAGGCAGGGTGACAGGGAAGAGGTCTTGAAGCCCGGGACTTAGCAGCCGCACAACCTCCACTAGTTCAACCAGTTTGCTCTTGGGACCAAAGGACAGGCTGGGGTCGGCAAGCGGAAGTGGAGCCTACTTTGACCTGCAGGTGAAGGCTAAGCGAAGGGGAAAGACAGTGGCATCCGCTCTGGCATATCCCTGCGCGGTCACTCCACCCCTTGGGGGGACGTGGATACAGCCCCCCACTGCCTACCCCGCAGAGGTACGGAAACTGGCCTCCGTGAACCACAGCCCGGCCAGAGGACTCAACCAGTCCCCCCAAATGGCAGGAAGGGGAAAAGTGCCAGAGAGAAAGGGTAGCATCATGGGCCCAGGACACTGACCTCTTCTGCCAGCCTTGCCCGGCCTCCCGGGGACGGAGCCAAGGAAGCCCAGCAAATGGGCGGGACAGAGACCCAGGCGTCCTGGCCCGCCCCGCCCAGCCCCCCTCCCACCCACCCCGCCGCCCCCCCCCCTGCCCCCCAGCCCCAGGGCACCGAGGAGGGAGCCGGGCAGGGGCAGGCGGCAGGGGAGGGAGGAGCGAGGGCGGGAGGGGGAGGAGGGAGCCAGGCTGGGAGGGATGTGGGGGGGTGGGGAGGGAGAAAAAGAAAGAAAATATTTTCCGTGTCCCCGCCTGCAGAGTCAGTGTGCGGTTTGGGAGAAAATGTGTCGGATATTTTGGGGCGGTCACGTGGGCGGGCGGGCTCCGAGAGGCCCCGGGACCGTCCCAGCCTAGAGTCTGTGCCCCCCCAGAGCCCCCCATCACCGAGAGCCCCTGCCACTGCGACGCTCTATCCCCGCGACCGCCCGACGCCGGGACCTCGGGGCTCGGCGGCCTCCCTTCCCCCTCCCTCCCCCTCCAGGTGAGTCAGGCGGGGAAGCAGTCTCGGCCGCCGCGGACGCCCGGGTCCTCCGGCGAGGTGGGCCGGGGGCGGGGGCGCCGGGAGCCACGCCGGCTCAGTTCCTCCCCGCACTGGTCCGGCTATCCGCAGGGGTGGAGGGGGGCTTCCTGCCCCGACTTGGGGGTCAGCCCTGATGTGGGAACGGAATGGGGAAGATTTTAGACGGGCTGGGCTGGGCTGGGCTTTATCCACCCTTCACTGCTGTGAGTAGTCGGGGAGAGCTTTGAGGGAAGAGTCTTCAGCCAGGGGCCTTCTATCCTATGTTTGTGCCTGGAGTGTGAGGGCAGATACGGTCCCCTCCTGCGGGAAAGGTCCACCATCCGCCTCCCCTGAGGCTTTCCCTGGGGAATCTGAGGGGAGGATTTTTGGTCCACGCTGATCCTTCCCTAGTGGAATGGCACAGCTTGGACAACAGAAGGGCGAGGAAAAGGTCCAGAGGCAAGTGATTCTGGCCGTCTGGGTCCAGCAGTTTGGAGAGACAAATGGATAGGATAGGGGTCTGTGAAGTTGCCTTGAACCGCAGTGCAGGATTCCCTCTCATATCCGCAACCTTGGGTGTGAGTCCGGGCTCCCTCCAGCCAAGGTCGGGGGCTCCTCTGGAGTATTCTTGAGGGGAGCCCGAATGGTACTAAGGAAGAACAGGGGGACTGGGGCAGGGACCTGGGAGTTCCAGTCCTGGAGCCTCACTGACGCTGCTGCCTCACTGTCTCTAGCACTTACAGCCCAGTTCCCTCAACCTGACCCAGTTTGTAGGAGGGAATCTCTGCAGGTGGCCAGAAAGTAAGAGTATGCAGGGTTTGGCAGGGGGTGAGGCGGGGTGGTGGGCAAGGGAGCCCGAGGAGGGGCCCGTAGGGCAAGAACCTGAGATGACTGTGCCCCTTCAGGGCCCACATCCAGGGCAGCTACCGTCCGAGTCCTCAGGTCTGAGGCTTCTGCCCTTACCCCTTACCATCACTCCTCAGATGCTGACTGGGGGTTGAGGACCACAGGCAGTGTCCCATATCCTGGAGGCGAGAAAATAGAGGACAGGGAAGGGGGCAGGAGGCAGTGTGTGAAGGGTGCCTGGAGCTTGGGTATCCCAAATAGGGAAACACACACTCACACACACATGTACACACACGCCGTGGCTTAGAGCCTAATAGGCAGCACAGGGCACACACCCCCGTCCCGGCACACCCCCACCCCCTGGCTCAGAAAGCCACCCAACTGGCACCTCCAGTTCCCCCCTCTGCCCCACCCTACCCATGCCCTCTGATGCCCACACACATTCCACCGGCCTTGCCTGCCTGCCTCCTGGGAACTGCCCCTCCCTGGGGCCAGTGAGGTAGAGGGAAGGCACCTGGTAATGGGAGGTGGAGACTCAAGGGTCTGGACTCCCCCAAGGGTGGCACGAGGCCAGGGAAACCCAGCCCACTGTTGCCTCCTGGGGAGCAGGCTGGGGGCCCAGGCTAGAGCAGAGGATGCCCGGGTTCTCTGCCCAGGCTGGGGATGGGGTCATGGAAAAAGGTGGTCGTGTTTATACAGAGGGGAGGGGGGCAGCGGGTGGAGTGCAGCCGACAAGGGCAGCTTTGTTCCAGGCTCTGGGGTGGGCAGGACGGCAGAGAGACGCCCCCCACCCCCACCGCCTCCGTCCAGCAGCCCCGTCATCCATGCCCTCCCCTCAACTCCACCTCAGCTCGAAGAGAAGCAACTTCTCAAGGGCCCCTTTCCCCTGGTCAGCCCCCCTCAGTCTGAGGTGGCATCTTGGGAGGAAAGAAGTACATTCTCCCTTCCTCAGGTCCCCCAAAGTACCAAGACCTCTGGGTCCCTAGTTTAGGATTTCCTTTTACGCTGTGTACCACTGTCTTCAATTCCTTGGTCCCTTCCTCTACCCAGGACTTAGGACCCTCCCCTTCCCTTCCCAGCCAAGGCAGAAAAAGTGGGATGCATCTCTGTCCCCTTTCTCTCTTCACTCAACTCTCAGGTTCCTTCTCTGAGGCAAAATAAGAGGAAGGCCAGGGAGAGCTTGGCTCACTCATAGCTTCATTCCTCCGTAAGGACCAGGAGCCTGAGCATCCCTCTCTGGGACCCTCGAAGTCCTCCTGCCCCACCCCCAGGCCTCTGTTTCCCACCCGCAGGTGAGAAGCAAAGACAGTGAGTGCTGGAGCCCAGAGCCGGGTTCTCAGTCTAAGCCAGTCTGGGGAAGATGCGGTGGGGGGACCTCTAGTAGCTTCTCATCCTTAGCATTGGAGGGGTTAATCCACCTGGAATGTGGCCCAGCCTGTTGAGCTATGGCCCAGGGGCCTCAGGGGCCCGGACTCCTGGCTCTACCTGGGCTTAACCTGGGACAAGGACTTCAGGGAATAGGGGAAGGTAAAGGAGGTGGACCCTGGGGGCTCATAGCTCAGACTTTTAGGGCTTGGGGAGACACTGGGCTGAAGAGTCAGGGTGCTGGGGATCTGGGTAGTGGCTAGTGAGGGACAGTGAAGGGTGGTGGCTTGGGGTCTGAGTTCCTGTAACCTCCATACAGTTTACCCTCAGGAGCTTGAAGGCCAAGGCAGATGAGAGATAGAAAAGGAAGGAAGAAAAAAAGCAGAGGTACAAAGACGGAGCGATATTGATCTTAGAAGCAAAGACTGATGGAAAGAGATGCAAAATACCCATCACCTACTTCTGGGCCTGCCCACCCCAAGGACTCTGTGTTTCACTCTCTCTCGGCCCTTCTCTGTCCTTCTTCATCTAGTCCATTATGGTTCTGGCTGGTAGAGGAGGCCTCCAGGCTGCGGTGACTCTCCTTCCCCAGCCCCTAACTCCCTAGACAGGTGGGTAGTTCTGAGGCTCCTGGGAAAGCCTACCTTTCCCTTGTCAGAGCATCAGGAGAGGAACCACCTGCCTGGCCCTAGGATTCCCACTTCCTCTTTCCCTCCTTCCCCTCCCCCTCCCTTGGGCTCAGGTTAAAAACCTCTGAGATCAGGTTACATTTGAGGGAGGGGAGGATGTAGGGAGGGCTTCCTATAAGCAGAGGGCTCAGGAAAGAGAGAGAAGAGATGGAGAAGCAAAGTAAACTAAGGACAGGGAGAGGAGCTTCTTAGCATCATACCTGGGACACAGCGGGGCTTCCATTAACCTCTGTGGATTTGAGGAGAGGTTAGGGAGGGAGGGATAATTGGAGACAGAGACAGAATTGGGAGGGGAAACCGGGAGAGGGAGTTGAGGAAGGTGGAAAGAAAGGAAATGCAAATTAAAAGAGAGGTATGGAGGAAGAGAAGGTACAAAGAGAAAGAACCGGAGACATTTATATAGCATTTAGTATGTGCCCTATATTATTCTAGACACTTTACATATGGTAACTTATTTAAGCCTCCTAATAACCTCATGAATTGAGGCTTATTACGATTCCCAATTGACCAAGGAGGGAACTGAGGCCCAGAGAGATTAAGTAACACTAATACATCCAAGGTCCTGCAGCTGGCAAGTGGTGGGGATCAAATTCAGGTAGTCTGGCTCCAGAGTCTGTGTTCCAGAGAGGTGTAACATTTTTTAACAAAAATGTTAAAACAGATATGTTTGCTTTCTCCAGGATGGTAGAGAGTTTGAGACTTGGCTCTACTCTTTACAGCCATGTGACCTTAAACTAGTCCCTAAACCTCAGTTTCCTCATCTGTGAAATGGGAATCTTAATTCCTACTTCACAGGATTGATGTGAGGGTTAAATCTAGTGTCCAGCCCATGGTGGTGTGTAATGGTCATTTCTTAGCCTAGGAGTCCTCTCTGCCAGGAGTTTGAAGACCATGATTCACCTTGGAAACTCAATTTACCCTTCCAGGAGAGTTTCTCTGAGCCTGCATCAGCACCTGCCCTGCCTCCCCTACTGTGTGGCAGAGGGCAGCAAGGAGGGAAAAGACTCCAGCTGGGAGAGGGCCATGGGGCTTGGAACCTCAGAGTGATCATTCTCTCATCCCTCCTTTTCCTTTCTTTCTCCTTAGGAGTCTTGGAGACCCAGTGAGCAGGCCAAGCAGGGCGGGCACGGAGCCTCCCAGGCCAGGGCAGTGGGCATGGGCGGGGGCTGTGGCTGAAGAAGTCCCCCGCCCACTGCAGACCCCAGGGGATTCAGCCTCCCACACTGCAGCCGCCATGGCCACCAACAAGGAGCGACTCTTTACGCCTGGTGCCCTGGGGCCTGGCTCTGGCTACCCAGGGGCTGGCTTCCCCTTCGCCTTCCCAGGGGCACTCAGGGGGTCTCCACCTTTCGAGATGCTGAGTCCTAGCTTCCGGGGCTTGGGCCAGCCTGACCTCCCCAAGGAGATGGCCTCTCTGTGTGAGTCTCAGGGATCTTGGGGGATGAGGGCAAGTGGAAACAGGAGAGCATTTCGTGGGTGGATGAGAGAGAAAATTGGTGTCCCAGTTAGGAAGACAGGCAGGGCTGGGGGTTTGATCTAATGGAGGAGGTGACAGGG